CAAACTAAGATGTTCTCCTTATACCTTCTCATAAAAACACACCAGGAGGAATCTAGAGCAGTCTTCTCCAGAAGTGTTGGGCAATGATTCCAAGCCACCAAGGCCATTGGAACTCTGGGAGTTGTCGTCACTAAGCTGCTTGAGAACATCCAGTTGGAGGCTGCTCTGTGTCCACCCTGTACAATTAGCTCTAAACTGGCAGACATCCAAACAGATATCCCAGAAACCTTGCAGCAATGGAGAAAGGAAAGTCAAGATAGATGAAAAGACAAAGTCCACTTTTGTATGTTTAGGAGCTCTGGGACTAATTGTCTCTAAACTGATTGAGAACATCCCATTTTTCAATATATGATTACTACAGTGAGATTACTATATGCACAGAGATAGAAAGATTCAACCCTACTCATTATGGTGGAATGGTTGGTGAAGTTGACAGATTTTGCTGAAATGAATAAATTGACTTCCTTGATTAAAGACAATATCTATATTTATTGATGACTGGATGCCTCTTATGGATTTTTTGCATACAAATACAAAAAAAATGAACTTATGATTTATGGTTTCGATGATCAGATAGGATAGATTATAGGAGGAAGAGTAATATGATGTAACGGTAGAGAGAAAATATATCTGTACTTATAACTGCTGTGAAGAATATTGAAAGCTACTTATTTATATCTTTTTCTTTCTTTTCTATTTTTCTTCAACTTTTTTTCTTTACTTGTACTTTTTTCTTTTTCTTTTTCTTTTTTTCTTCCCCCCCCCTTACTTTATATTAGTTAGTGTTAGTTTTTATCTTCTTGTTTAAAAGTTTCAATAAAAATTATATTAAAAAAAAGAGATCATCTAGTTTGAAACTAATAGGTGTCCACCCTGTACAATTACCTGTACAGGTAGTCCTCGACTTATGACCATTCGTTCAGCGACTGAAGTTACGACGGTGCTCAATGAATGTGGTTACAACTGGTCCTCAGAGTTACAGCCATCCCAGCATTCCCATAGTCAAGCGATCACAGTCTGGGTGCTTGGCAACTTGTTCATGCTAACGACTGGTTGCCAAGCACCCCGCAATCACATGATCGCCATTTACAACATTCCCTGCCGGCTTCCCAGAAAGTCAATGGAGAAGCTGGCATGGAAGGTCGCAGGTTGCTGGGGTAAGTCTCCCACACCCGTGCATCCTTCCCAGCCTTTCTGCGCTCGTGCCATGCCACTTGTGTACCCCATGCACCCTCCCCAACCCACATGGTGCCTCTCATGCACTACTGTGCGTCCCCGTGTGCCCTCCCCAACCTGCTCAGCGCCTCAAGCACAGAACCTCCCTAACACATATGGCACCCCATGCACCCTCCCCAACCCTGCCCAACCCTCCCCCACACCTCGGCACACCCCTCACTCCCTCCCCCACCTGGCAGCAGCCACTTACCTGACAGCCTGGGACTTGCAACTTCCTGCCGCTTTCCCCACTGACTTTGTGGGAAGTCGGCAGGAATTTGCCTCGCCTAAGGACCATGGGATTCAGCTAAGGATTGCAATTGGGACTGCAGGGATTGCCATTGCTAAGCAATGTGTCATACTTTAAAATTGCATCATTTCATGACAGAAATTCCAGTCCCAATTGTTGTCGTAAGTTGAGGACTACCTGTATACTGGCAGACATCCAAACGCATATCCCACAAACCTTGCAGTGATGGGGAAAGGAAGGGAAAGACGGATGAAGAGGCAAAGTCCACCTTTGTATGCTTAGGATGCGAGATCCTATATAAAGCTGCAGGACTGCATAGCAGAAGAGCAAACGAGCAGGAGAAGAAAGGAGCCACATTCATCGTACACATCTACTGCAGCAAAGGTAAAATCTCCAGCAACTTTCCAGCAACTGCTGCTCCGCTCTTAAGGAAGATATGGAAGGGGGTTACTTTAGCATGGAAGGGTAGCCTCTGGTGCGGAAGGTCTCAGAATGGATCGCTGGAATCTTCAGTTAAAAAGATCAGTTAGAATCAATAAGAAAGCGGAAAATCTTGTTGATTAAAAAGAGTTGGATGTGAGAAGAAAGGAATTATGATATAATCTTAAACAGGGAGACGAGATGATTTGTTTGTATGTATCTGCTGTAAGGAAGATGGGAGTCACGTCTTCATCTTTTCTTTTCTTTTTTCTTTTCTTTCCTTGTACTGTATCTATCTATATAACTTTCTTAGCTTCTCACTTCACGTTTCCCCTCTTTTTTTTAATTTCTCTTCTTTAATGTTACTTTATCTTTTATTCTTGTAAGAATTCTTAATAAAAATTATTATTACTAAAAAAAGGAAAGTAGAAAATCTTGGATGAAGTTTCAAGAATTATAATGTTGAATACGTTGGAAGGGGAAGATTTAAATACAGTGTATATAACTACTCCA